GACATCACAACACTGTCGCTCTAGTCCTAACCAACCGGTCTACGGTATGATAGTGATTCTGTACGTACCTCATCAAACCAATTCATGGCACTTTTCTGTAGTTGTTTATATTATCATACATTCCTGAGATCGTGTGTATTCTAGCTGAATATACATCCGCCAAGATATATAAAGTAATTGTTTACTTGACTTGACTTTAACTGAAGTTTTAAGCCGCTGGTAATAATTATGCTTTTTTATCAGCTTTGATAACAATAAATGCAAATTGAACATTCATTGCTCAAGACCAAGCTGCTGTGGTTCTGATGTGGATTAAGCATTAAGAAAACTGACTGCACGAAAACCAGTTTCACACAGCGCGGTAATGACGGCGAGCGCTCTTTCTCCGTTCAAAAATCTGGCTAGCTTGCCGAACTACCTCCTCGTGGTGCCAGCTGGGTGGTTCGGGTGTACCCCATTCCAGCAAAGTGTTCGGCGACAATGTTTCACCACGTTAAAACATTGTGTTCCAGCAATTGTGCTGATTTCGGTGGGAGTATAGGGCCCCTGTTTGGTAATCTATCAAACAAAGACGCATGAACTGAACATTCAGTCAGTGCCTCCCAGTAGTCGCGATTCCCTGAATTCGCTCCGCTGCCTTGCTGGTAGGGTATTTAGCCAAAGTATCGGGATGGAGTCTCCTAAGTCAACTCCCTACTTCGGCTTGGGCAACCGGGTAGTATCACGCCCTTCCACAAAAGCATGGATTGCACTACAAGGTGCTCAGCAGCTACCGTTTCTGCTTCTCACATTCACGCGACTTCACCAAACGCCAATTCTATTTTGCTAACAATCCCTACTTTCCGTAACCCTGTTCTTGTGTTCAACAATTTAGCTGCGATTCCGGTTCCGCCGCGAAACACGGAGTTCAACCTATGGCTCTCCTTCGTCCCCTATCTTAGTTCCGTCTGCCGTGCTTCAACATTCGGACACTCATGCAGATTGGACAGCAAGCCGGTCTAGCGCGCACTCTATAGTCCCAAGACCTTGATGTCTGCTGCCTTTCAGAAACCCGGTTGCAAGATACCAGCACTGTGCTTACATTGACATCCCCCACTAACCACGAAGCCAGATATCACCTGCGTCTCAGCGGGTTTGGCGGATGTAGGTATAGCACTAAGTGGAAAGTCCGAGGCGGCGCTACTGGACTAGTTCCCGATTAACAGCCGACTACTTGCAGTTCGGCTTCGGGGTTCATGTAGAATCAACAGGCACCGCGAAGAGAGACGCAACTTGTTTGTGGTCTCCGTTTACGCTCCAACTGACTGCAGTGGCCGCTTGCTCAAGGACGAATTTTACTGGGATCTACATCAGCACTTGACTAATGCTAAAAACTCGGATATCGTTATCCTTGCTGGGGATTTCACTGCACGGGTTGGCCGCCTGTTACCAAACGAAGGCGACATTCGTGGTCATCACGCGCTCTATGAGAACCTCTCTAATAACGGAGATAGGCTTCTCACCAACCCAGCTCAGACTATCTCCACCTGACGAGTCCAAACCAGGATGAAACCGAGGTTGTGGTGTGCCAGCGTTAGGAAGAGAAACACCCATCTGTTTCCATTCCAGATACGGTCCACGAGATCGCAATAGCCGAGGTTTACCTCAGAGTGAACCCAGGTCTCTATGGAGGTTGCCAGTCGCAACCCAACCACACAACGTGTTCCCTGAATTCTGCTTTGAAAAACTTCTCACATTGTGCGAAGACAACTATCTGTTTCTCTCGAACACTAACTTTAGGCGTACGAAGAAGCGTTTCGCAACGTGGCGTCCCCATTCGCTAACAAAACCGTATTCTCAAATTAATCACATTGCAGTTAGCTTCAGTTGGCGTGGCGGCGTACTGGACTGCAGGTCCTTTTGGTCCACTTTCAATGACAGATCATGCACTGGTCCACTCGAAAATCTGTATGTGTTTTGGGGTCCTGAAACATGAAGCACCGCAAGATTGATGTAAACAGACTAACTGATTCCTCTGTCCAGGCAAGCTATCAGTCTTCTCTGGCATACGCACTCTGTTGCAATCCACCGCAAGAAGTGGAGCGACACTGGACTTGTATACGGAAGGCAAGGACCATTTCCGGACAGTCAAGCTGCTGCCTAGCTCAACGCTTCTTAAAGGCTTGGATATCTGCTCGTTCTCTGGAGCTGTTCGAACGCCGCAAAATTACCCCGGCAAAATCAGATGGCAACAAGCAGCACCGTTCTGCCAACTGGCGCTTAAAGAAAGCATACGCAAGGATCGAGTGACAGTGATCTGAGCCTGCTTTAGAGATGGAGACCGCTGCCCTCTCTGTTAACATTCGCAAGTTTTATCAATTCATTTGGTTCACTGGCCTCAGGTACCATGGTGTCAGTGAGGTTATTTTCGAGGTGGATAAGTTCCGATCACCAACCAACAGAGGCGTTTGGACAGCTGGGAGGAGCAATTTCAATCGCAGTTCAACTGGCCTCCAACATCCATCAGTACATGCAGTACACCTAGATGTCCACTCTGGCTCGTCTCGCTGAATCCAACCAGCAAAGCGGGTATCTGACTCGAAATTTGACGCTTGAAGCGGTTCAAGGCTGTTGGCTCAGAAAAAGTTCCTCCGGAGCTGTTCAAGTACGGTGGTGTGGCGATCAATAACAAGCTGACCTCGCTGTTCGCAAATATCTGGCATGAAGAGAAAGTGTTTTTCTCTTGGGGCGAACCAGTTGCTGTCCTGATTGTTAAGAAAGGCGGCCGCACTTAATTTGTAAATCATCGCAGGGTATTAGTCTTATTTCGCTTGCCTCCAAGATATTGGCATCCATTCTGCTCCGTAGACTATCCCCAATACGTGAATCATCCCACCGTGAAGAACAAGCTGGTATCCGTCCCGGCCGCGGACGCGTAGATCAAATCTTCACGCTCCGCCAGCTCCTCGAACATCGCCACATTAATCACAGACCCACCATCGTTGCTTTCCTAGACATAAGTGCTGCTTTTGACTCCGTTGATCAACATGCTTTATGACATTGCTTGCTAAAGCACGGGGGGCCAGAGAAATATACCGCCATCTTACGAGCACTTTACCTTCATACATCCGACAAAGTGAGGGTCTACAGCAAGCATTCCTCGCTATTCGCTGTTAATGGCGGTGTGCGACTGGGCTGCCCTATGTCCCCATTCCTCTTCAACATCGCAATCGAAGACGTTCTGTCGAGTACTCGAGAAGGTTTCCAACATTTTGACCTAGAGCTTCTATCGGGTGAGCACGCGACCTACTTGGATTATGCTGATGATATCGCCTTACTTGGTGACGATCCTCAGGGTATGCAACTCATCCTGAATTGGTTGGCGGTTGAAACATCTATGGCAGGGCTTCGTCCCATCGAAGTCTAAAGTACTGCTCAAGGATTGGCTTTCACCTGCTCCCGTGCTCACTCTCGAAGATGCATAACTTGAACAGGTGGATAGTTTCGTCTACATTGTGAGCTGTGTTACTGCTGACGGCACTATCCGCAAAGCGATTTCTCTACCCATTGCTAAAATCCGATCAGCAATTGCCAAGCTGAGGCACTTTTGGCGTCGTCGCAAAGTCTCATTCTCTCTAAAGGTCATGTTTACAGAGTAGCTGCTCGTCAAGTGTTGTTGTATGGGAGCGAGTCCTGGCCGATTCGCGTGGAAGACATGCGTCGTCTTTCTGTCTTTGAGAACGGTTACTTAAGGAGGATTGCTCGTGTTTTGTGGCATCATCGAGTTAATAGTAATGACTTTCAACGTCGCGTCTTGAGAAATGCGAGTATTTCCTTCAACAACCTGGTTTTGTTGCGCCAGTTGAGATGGCACCTGAGCGTTTACCGCGTTGCGCTCTATTCGCTTGTCAAGGACTTGGCTGAAGGTGACCGCGTGGTGGTCAGCCTTCCACATGGCGACAGCACATGAAATAGCTGACGTGGCGTCTAGCCACTGTTGGACCAGTACGTCTTCCAGGATGGGGACCCAAGGATGAGAAGTGCCAATGGCTTAACATTCTTGAAGATATTGCCCGCAACCGGAATCGGTGGAAGAATTGAGTACAAAATTGTATTGATTCACATGTTTAATATTTCAAACATTATAATTAACAAAAAAGAAAACTAGGCATGTGAAAACAAACTAAAAATGTTTTATTCAACTTTTTGTCAGACTGTTCATTTCTTCCTGCGGCAAAGTAGCTGAAGTGCGTTGTTCACCTTCAACTACTAGGCCATGGTTTGCTTTTTTGGCTTCATGTCTAGTCGCTGGACTGTTGAGATTGCATACATAATGTAAATAAAGTAGAATACTTTTTATTCAGACTAAGGAGGTCTAGTTATGTGTAAGTCGGTGTAGCCCAACTGCGGTGCAACAACTACCTCAGCAAGAGGCATATATATATATATATGTATATATATATATATATATATATATATATATATATATAATGCAAATTCGATCCTTAAAGTCTTAAGCACAGTGCAGGCGCAATAAAGGAAAACATGATTTCTTCTTATTAGTGTGAGGCACGCTTGCAAACATTTGCTCATCGTATTAACAACATGTGTGATTGGTAACTGAACAAACATGTCACAAGGAAACCAGGTACATATTGGATTTACGTGTGCATGATGTAGGTAGGTGCATGTGTAGGTAACCATCTTGAATGGACTAGTTAATTTAGCTCTGGCTTTGTGATTTTGTGAAATTTGATAGCCAACATAGTGTGGGGTCATAAGAAATCTTCGAAGTGGATGACGTTTGTGAAGTGCGTAATATCCTCCGGAAAGGGAAGCAGCAGTGACTTTATTCAGTCGAGTGTCACATCCGCCATTTCACAGTGTCGTTAAACAGAACTTAATCGTTTGAAAACTAGGAGTCAATGTAAATGATGTAGCAGAAGCACGTGCCTATTAAATTAATTGACATTCGATGTTTGTGTTGGTATATTTCGCATTATACAAATGCCTTCACATACCGTGTCCTTCATGAAAATCGACTTTAACCTCCATTCTTGTGGGGAAACCTTCAATTACTTTGACGTGTTCGACAGTGGCTGTAGGACCAAACTCTACGTCCGAGGCGTCATCCGGTGCAAGTTGGATGGCATGTATTCCGTTTGCCGTTGAGGAATTACCCTTTGGAAAAGGATTACAATCAGTGAAAAAGTACTTTATTGTGCAAGGCGTTATATGGGTTGTGAACCAATTAGTTGTTGAGATGGTTGGTGTATTTTGAACTATGTTACAGGATACGGCATGTCAGACAAAAACACACGATGCTTCCTGGCTTAAAAGGCGGTTTTATTCAGCCCTCTATTGTTATAGCGCTTGAACTAAGTTGACTTTAATTGACAAGACCTTCTCTGAACAGTTTCTCCACTGCTCCATCTGTTTCTCCTTCTGAGGTTCCAAAAATATTATTAATCTGGTAATACTGATGCAGTTGTATTTGCGGTGCTGCGTGTAACATATATCCTCACCTACTAATGAGGGTTTTATACCGGCAAAATAAGTAACAAAAGCTTTCATTGAGATGATGCAAACGATCGGTTGTGAGCGTAATTTTCATCGCTCCTGCTAGAACACAATTTTCAAGTAGTCCCTCTAAATAAAACCTCGGGGTGTGCGTAGCACACTGGCAATTTGATCAAGCGTCATGCTATACTTGCAATGCTTCCTCCTTCTAGATGAAGGCTGCAGTGATCTACTAGATTCTAATGTGCTGAGGTCCCCCTCCGTAATTTCATTTCTTTAAGCTAACTCCCAAGGTGGCAATACTGTTTAACAATAGTTGTTTGTGGAAACACGAGTAGGACTGTCTCGGCTACGATATCTCAATTGGCACCAACGGGACTACTGCCTTCAACTTGATTTGGCTGAAACACTAATGAAATTTAAAATGGTATCACTAATCGACACCATAACATGGTGGTTCGTATAGCCGTCCTGCACCCATCTGCATCTTCTACGACGATGCTAAAAACAAGCAAGTAACACTTCCAGTCGGCTTCTAATCTCGCCACAACAGGACAACAAAGTGTCAGTCGAACCAGTTCAAAGAGAAAATCAGAGTGCCTCGTTGAATTAATACGTCAGTGTGAGTCTTCACATGAAACAGCATTAATGCAGATATGTTATGCTATGAGAGCAATGTCACTGGTATTCTGACTCACCTGCAAAAAGAACCAAAATGTAGCCCGTTAGAAATGGCGAGCGACATTCTTACCAGCAGCAAGACATAAAAAAGCATGCAAAACGCTGATTATGTTCGATTCTAGTACTGCATTTTATAAGAGCAGAAATGTCTATACCTCGGATGTGGTCCAAGTGTCGAAGTAGCAGTAGTAATAAGTTACAGTAACACGTATGTGGACGACTATCTGATTTGGAAACTGCCTGCGAAGAACCTCACTTAAGTTAAGAATAAGCTTGCGAGAGTGAACATTCAGACAATCCGAGGTAGAGATACAAAGTTAGTAATACTGATGTATCTCATCTCATTCTCTACCACCATCCCTGATGCAGACACTCTAAACACAAGGTGTGCTCGCTGGGGTACGAGCTCCATCACCTAGCTACAAACAGCTTTATGATATTTTAAGGGGATACACAGTTACTGTAGTTAAGTGGTCATGAATTGAATGTTTCACAAAGGCGCTTCGCAACTAGCTGATACATCGCGGCGTTTGGGCTCAACCAAAGAGCGTGTCCTCATAAAACATTTCAGGCCACCACCCGTGATCAAGCGGAAGGATTAGGTCAACAAACTCTTGACAGTATTGACTTGTCGGTCGGTGACCGAGTGGTCTGCACGCCTGGCTACCAACCATAAAGTCACCGGTTCGAATCCGCGTAGAGACGGGGGTCCTCGCGGTATACTCAATCCACGCGCGACCGGCGGTGGTCGCGCGGCAGCGTGGCGCCGCTACGGCGTATAGCTGACACATTATTTTTATTGGCAGATATTGCCATTTCACTGGATGTACAATCTTTGTTTACATACGTTCCGCTACGTGTGAACATTGATTATGTGTGTGAGTTGACGGAACATTAAAGCTTATCTATTCTAACACCAGATGAGCTGTTGAAAGACGTCCTGTTACTTTGCACTGAAAACATCATTTTCCACGTTGGAAACTCTCCATATCGCCAGATAGATGGTGGAACAATGGGCAGTCTATTGATCCCGGAATTAACGGATTTCTTCATGTCCATGGTTGAGACCAAGGTTACTGCAGAAATTCCCCACCTTTCCTACTACAAATGCTACGCGGATGATATGTTAGTGTTCTGCTCATCAATAACACTGTTACACGTCTTTTCGAACTATTTTTGTAGTGTACATACAAATTCGAGAGTAAGCAGCAAAGTAGAAGGTAACAAGCATCCCCTTTTCCGGACGTACGGATTAGTCGTAAAGAAAACGGTCTCATCAAGAGATCTGTTTACCGAGAACCAACATGATCCGGGCATTACTTGTATTTTACCAGCTTCACTCCCATGCGGTACAAGCGGACACAAATCAAGACTGTTTAACCGCGCCAGAAGAATATGCAGTCCTGAAAGTGGAACAGGAGCTGTCGACTAATGCGCTCTTGAAGAATACTTATTATCTCTGGTTTATTACAAACATAGTCAGACGACAGTGGTGAGAGAGATGGTCCTCATTGTGGCCAAAAATAACTCACACAACTACCTTTGAAAGGTGCTTTTACCACCATGAGGACAGCCAAGCGCATAATTTCCACTGTTCATAGGAATTTTTATGTTGTCAAAGCTGGCCTTATTAACAGAGCCAACAAAGTACCTGTTCCTCCAGGGAAGGAAAGATAACCTGTGGACACCAACTCCCACTGAAGTTACCAATACATATATGGCTGCGGACTATGCTACATTGGCCGTACGGAGACAATGCTGAAATTCAAGAGTGAGAAACCATGCGCCTAAGTGGATGCAGCGTGAAATTACCTAGTCTTTCCTTTCGTCTACCACCTGTTCACGAAAGCTACCTGCGTCATGCACACATTGCACAATCTTGTTGAGATATGCTAGCACATGCTTCCCGCTTTTTACCGAGGCTGTCGACATCAGCCTGATCAAACCGGCACTCGGCGTTCAAAACAGCTGTTTCTAAACCAAAGGCTCCCATAAATTTAGGTGTGGCACACCTGTACTCCACCCTGTCGCTATTTTCTCCGGTCACACCATAGATGTAGTAACTGATTTATTTTCCTGTTAGTCTACTGGCACTGACGAGGCAATACAAAATGTTAACATCTGCCAGATTTTGTCTTCTCACTGCGTTATTTCAATTGCTCAAGGGGACTAACTGTTTCAAACTTTAACCCATTAGAATTTTGAGCGCCGAAGAATCAATAGCTGAGCATAAAGTTGACGAGACAACTCGACTTTTGGGGTATAATACTGTTTTGAATTTTGGGATGAAATATTGTAGATAACAGTATCTGAATGAACACTGGGAACACAATCCGTCTTTTGTCAATATCCTTCTCAGCTCCAAGAGAAACAATGACATCATAATATATCCCGATTGCCGTACAAGTGTCCCCATCCGTTTGAAGGCCGTGCTCGCTGCATATTGTTTGCCTCAGTATCGAAGCGCATTCGCATAAACTCCTTCAAGGTACAAGCTCTTCGCTTGTCTTCTTCATTTGTGACACGTGCCAAGCCGTTGAGATAGATAAGAGAGTCCGTTCGACCCCGTTCAGCAATGTGGCTCAGACACGGGTAACGAAATCTGACTCTCTCCCGCCACTTGTTGTGCCCAGCTCGGCGACTACGAATATTAACCGTAGTCGAGAATCCGCTGCTCCATTGTCCGACACACTGACGTTTAGGCAACTCAACATCCAGCGCAAAAATAAAAGCTATACTGCCGTCGTGCGTCAAAGCGTGACGTCAGGGACAACTAGATTGGATAAAAATGTGCTCCGTTATAAAGTAAAGAAGACCTCAAAGCGGAACGTTCGCAAGGCTTCCCAAAGCACCGAATTGAAATTCGATCCGATTGGAATGAATCGGTTAGAGAAGTTTGTAAGGTTTAATACTGGGCCCAAAGTTTGACTATTCCTAAGAGAAACACACCTCGCGAGCGGTGTTTGATTATCATCAATGCACCCGAATGTAGCAAACCAATTCCACCACAGTGGATATTGGAAGACCAGGAATTTCTAAAGCGCATGGTCTCTCTACTGTTCGAGGATAGGAACCTGGGATAAATATTATTCTGCATTTCACCTCTGCAGAAAGCGGGACCCCTCTTCCAAAGTGCGTCCCCTTACATAATCTCTGAAGATTAGGCAGAATGTGGCCGCACTGTTAAGTCACTTTCGCAGCTCAATGGGGAAACATATTATATCTTGAGGGCTCTCTGGTCAGAAGACCGTGTTAAAATGAAGACGGCATCTGATGAGTTTAAAACTCCACAAGCGAACCGTAAACAAATATCTACATCTTGGATTTTATTGCTATGCGGAGAACTCCGAGAGAACGATGGAGGCCGGTCCTTGTCCTGCTCGGACCGAAAAAGCAAGGCCAGCACATGGACTACGAGTGATGTATGTCAATCTTCGTAGCATGAGGAACGAATGGGTCTAGATTCCCATTCTCGTCTCCGTGCTTCGCTCAGATATTCTCGCTTTCACTGAGTTCCGGCTAACTCCGGACACACTGGATGCCGAAGCTTGGAACCCAGAATTTCAATTTTTCCGGCTGTTCACTGAGGTACGAAGACTGGGGATGGCGTCATACATTACCGGAGAGCAGACCGTCAGTGACGGCGGTGCAGAGATACTGTGGTGTCGGGTCCATGACGGTTGGAAACTCATCACTGTCGCCGTGGTTTACAAGTCCAGGTCGAGTAACGGTACCTGCCTCCTGAACTCAGTCAAAACATATGGGAGAAGTAGGAGCTGCCTAATTCTGGGTGAATTCAGTGCATCGGGAGTCGACGGGGGTCTACTCGACTGTAGGCACTCTTCCGAATCCTTTGCTGCTGCTCCGCTTGGTACAGTTCTTGAAGTCAATCTACTACATCATGTCTCCACGCCCACCAGAATACTCTCGGGTCAGCCATCGAACATCCTCGATCTCGTGCTGACACCGACATTATCTGG